GGAGAACATGGAGACTCCACGCAGAAAGATTCCGGTGCCCCCACAAAAGAATATGAACATTATTATTAATTTTATTATTATTTTCTTATAATTCATTCAAATGTAATACTGTGTTTGAGAACTACTCTTTAGTTGATCAGTGGGGCCCCGTATTGGTTGTCTTGTGTCTCTTTGTATTTGTTTTGTGTCTCTTTGTAGTTGCTGTGTGTCTTATTGTGGTCATTTTGCAACTGCGTAGTCATTTTTAATCTCTTTGTAGTCGCTTTATGTCTGTGTGTCGTTGCTTTGTCTGTGTTTGAGGAAGTGCAGACTGTGTAGTGTGCCTGCAGACACACACCAACACACCTGTGATCTCTGACTCTGCCTTCAGAGAGTCTGACCGGTGAACTCGTCCCGCTGCAGAGAAGCTTCAGTGTCCTTCAGTTAACGCAGTTTGTTCAGGAACACGAGACGTCCCATCGTCTAACTGCAGAGGGGGGGAGAGTTTGTCCTCCGTCAGTATTTGTGTTTATGTAAATGATTGCTGCAGAAGGAAACAGTTTCTAAACAAAACAGAGATGTTATCCTGCACACACACACACACACACACACACAGATTCAAACACACACACACACACCTATTTGAATGTCAGCGTTAACGTACAAAATGCATGTTATCTTAGAAAAACTATCATGTCGAGTAAAAACTGCGGGAAACAACAGATGCTCAGATTGTCCTTGAACTCATCATCTGTGATGGTAAAATGATCCAGACTTAGAAATGTGATCTTTTATTAAAATTGCTTTCTTTTATATGTAAAAATGTTGAGACTATGAACTGTAGGCTTTGGTTACACAGAGGAAAGAGGTAGTAAGTAGTAAAATATCTGTAGTATGTAGAGTTATTACATTTACTCCAGCGTTGGCAACACCTTTGGACACTTGGGAAAGTGTTGGAGATGCTGGTTTCAGGTTTTTCAAATTCCAAATGTGGTAGTTTAGATTCACTTTGTGGCTGTTTTGTGTGATTTTGTGGCACTTTTGCATCTTTCTGGTGGTTTTGTGTGTCTGTACAGTAGTGTTGCATGTTTTCGTGGTAGTGTTGTGTGTTTTATGGTAGTTCTGTATGCTTTTATGGTAGTTTTGCATGTTTTTGTGGTAGTTTTGTATGTTTCAACAGTACTTTTGTGTGTTTCTGTAGTAGTTTTGTACATTTTTGTGGTAGATTTGCATGTCTTTGTGGTAGTTTTGTATGTTTTTGTGGTAGTTTTGTGTGTCTTTGTGGTAATTTTGTGTGTTTTATGGTAGTTCTGTATGGTTTTATGGTAGTTCTGTATACTTTTTTGGCAGTTTTGCATGATTTTGTGTAGTTTTGTATGTTTCAACAGTACTTTTGTGTGTTTCTGTAGTAGNGTAGATTTGCATGTCTTTGTGGTAGTTTTGTATGTTTTTGTGGTAGTTTTGTGTGTCTTTGTGGTAATTTTGTGTGTTTTATGGTAGTTCTGTATACTTTTTTGGCAGTTTTGCATGATTTTGTGTAGTTTTGTATGTTTCAACAGTACTTTTGTGTGTTTCTGTAGTAGTTTTGGTACATTTTTGTGGTACATTTGCATGTCTTTCTGGTAGTTTTGTGTGCTTTATGGTAGTTCTGTATGCTTTCATAGTGACTTTATATGTTTTTGTGGTAGTTTTGTATGTTTTTGTGGTAGTTTTGTGTGTTTTATGGTAGTTCTGTATGCTTTTATGGTAGGTTTGCATGTTTTTGTGGTAGTTTTGTGTGTTTTGTGGTAGTTTTGTGTGTTTCATGGTAGTTTGTGTTTTTGTTTGGTGGTTTTATATGTTTCTGTGGTAGTATTTTCTGTGTACAATTTTTTCTGCATGTCTGTAGTACTTTCTGGGTCTCCCTAATTGTTTTCTGTCTGACTGTTTTGCGTTTTTGTGGCAGTTTTTCATACCACAAAAACATACAAAACTGCTGCACAAACACACAAAACCACCAGAAAGAGATGCTAAACTACCACCGAAATCACACAAAACGACCACAAACAGAATCTCAGCTACCGCTTTTTAAATCCATAATTCATCATCTCTCTGTTAGTTTTCCTTTTCATGACGTGACTCTGAGTTCCAGTGTTTTCATGCAAGCACTTAAAGAGGAACACAGAAAACGTCAAAGGAAGAATCAGATGAGCTCGTTCTGGTGGACCGTCTGCTGCACAACAGCAACATAGCGAGTCTGCAGTGTGTCTCCAGATGTGTGGATGGAGAAAGTGGCTCAGCCCAGACTCTGGGGACGCCGACCCCACCCTCCCCCTCTGTCTCTGGGCGGAGGTCGGCTGATCTCACTCCTGCTGGAAGCTTTAACCTCTGATCTCACAGTTTCCTGCAGATTCTTCTCTCCTTCGTCTTGTTTAGACACAGCGCCGTGACGAGAACTGCCACCTCTGACCTTTGCAGCGGCACAAGATTTGTTCAGAGCCACAACTTTTAGTAAGACTTGGCTTGACTGCGAACACTTTCTCACTTCTCTAATCTGTCTGTGGAGGCTCAAATCTTTTTTTTTTTTTAAAACACCTCACAGATATTTAGTTTCATTTTCTTAAACAGCTGCTATCAGACAAAAGAAGGTTTGAGTATTTAAGAGTTTGTGTCACATGCTTTTGAAAAAGAAAAAAAATAGCGGCAGTTTGACGGATTAATCTGTAATTAAATACATTGAATATGTTATTTAAAGGTGTTCAGCATCAAATCAGCCAGCAGATTGTTCGACACTACAGAAAACGTTTTATAGTTGTTGCTAGTCTGCTGGCTAGCGAGAATTTAGCAGGACGAGTCTATCTGCTGCTCCCAAAACAGCCAGAAAATGACCACAAAGAGACGCAAGATAATCATAAAGACGTACAGCGATGAGGGAGACACGGAAAACTACCAGAAAGAAATGCTAAACTATCACAAAAGCATGTAAAACTACCACAAAGAGTCGCAAAAGGACCACAAAGATATGCAAATCTACCACAAAGAGACGCAAACGTGTCACAGAGAGACAAAACTATCACAAAAACATGCAAAACTACCACAACAGAACACTACACTACCACAAAGAGAAGCCTATTTACCACTGAGACGCAAAACGATCAGAAAGACACAAAACAATTAGGGAGTCACCAAACGTACTACGGACACACAGGAAAAACAGTACACACAAAATACGAAACTACTAAAAAAATACACAAAACTACCAGAAAGTGAATCTAAACTACCACAAAATCACACAAAATAGCCACAAGGACACACAGAACAACCACAAAGACACGCTAAACTACCACAAAGTAGCCCGCGATGAAACTGAGTTTGGCATCACCGCTCTGAAGTAAGTAGTTGATGTTTCCAATCATTTTTTAATGCATTAAGTAGTTAAAGACTCATCTTTGTCCATCGTTTTCACCAGTTTTCATCATCACTTTGAGCTTTTTGCCTCATGGCTTCTGCAGGAGTAGCTCATGCTTCTCTACGTCTGTTAGCCTTGACACGCTGCAAAACATTAAAGTACAGTAACTAGAAATGGAAAATTAGAATAAAGTTAAACTCGTCTTTGTGGGGTAACACAACTTCCCATTATCTTTGCCACACCAACGGGTCGATTCCGGTCAAAAACTATGGAAATC